GATCAACGCTGCCATTAAACATGCAGATGGGAGCGTGGGACTGCGTGTCAGTGCAGCTCTGCCATGGAAGCAGAACAAATGGGAGCAAATCTTCTCTTTGGTTCCCTTCCAGGCACTTGGGATTCGCTTCCCCCTCTGCAAGCCAGGGCTGCTGGCAGGGCTGGTTTGTACCTGTGCTGTCCCCAGGTGATGCTGCGGGCTGGAGCTGCTCACGGGTCACATTGTGACACTGATGGAGCTGCTGCTGTGTCAGCACTGGTGACTGTGCCCAAACCCTTTGTCACCTCTGTGTTCCCTGCCCTTCCTTTCACACCAAGCTGTGTTAGTATCCACTTTCCTTGCTTTTTTTTTTTATTTTTATCTAACTCTTCAAGGCTATTTCTGCTTTGAATCACGACCGGATAGATGTATGTCCCTGCAGTGACTCAGGGGGAGGTGCTTCACTCCCTAAAAATAGTCCTAATCCTCCAAATCTTTCTGGATGAGAGCACTGGCTGGGCACGCGTGGCTGTTTAAAGCAGCTTCTGCAATGCATGTGGGGGTAAATATGGTGAAGTGGGAGTCAGTGCCTTTCTCCTTTCCTTCTTTAACACAAAGCAGTGATTCTTAATCTGTTGTTAATAGCTAGAGCAGGTTTCTTCTAGGAACTTTATAAGAAACAGAGCAGGAAAATGTTGTCCTTGGGGCCTGCTGGTTGTGTACTGCTGTTGTGAGTAAGATGTTCTCACTTCAGGCTGGTTGTTTGTCACAAACACCTAAACACTGTGGCTGGGTGGGCTCTCTCAAACAGTGAACTCTCCTTGCCATGGCACAGCCATGGATGTGACTGCAGGGCTGGGAAGCCTGGATGGGAGCAAAGCTCCTTTGGGGAGCCACGTGTCCTCCTGGTGCTGGTGCTGTTGAGGTCCATGGTTGGTGTCCTCAGGGATGCTCCCAGGGACGTGGGGCTGTGTGTGCTGTGTTCCAGCCTCGCTGTGTTGCTGTTTGTTCCCAGCTGACTCGGTGCTTTGTGCTGTCACTCACCCCAGCACAGAATTAGAGTATTTGTCACAGCAGCAAATATCCATGGCAACTAATTCCCTAGCTCTGGAAATCTTCATGATTTTTGAAGTTTCTTTTTTTTCCTGTGAAATGCACAGGGGTGGTTCCACCAACTTTTTTTTTCAGGTCTTCTGCAACTGTCAGGAGTGGTGGCTCTTCTTGGAAGCGCTTGAAAAATACACCGGTGCCAGTTCGGAAGATGGGGAAGATGGGGTGAGTTTGGGTGGTTTTGGTGCAGCATGGACATGGATAACTGGGGTGTGCTCATGGCAGTGGGACACAGACATGCCCCTCCTCTCCAGGACTGTGCAGGAGTGGAGACTACAAGATGAAAGAAGCAGATTTTTGTCTTTGAGGTGTGGAGATGTGCAGCAGGTGGGGGTGGCAGCTGTGCCCACAGCTCGTGAGGAGTCAATGAAGGTGTGTCAGGGGAATTTTAGGTTGGATTTTAGGAAAAGGTTCTTCCCCCAGAGGGTGCTGGCACTGCCCAGGCTGCCCAGGGAATGGGCACAGCCCCGAGGGTGCCAGAGCTCCAGGAGCCTTTGGGCAGCACTGCCAGGGATGGACAGGGTGGGGTTTGGGGTGTCTGGGCAGAGCCAGAAGTTGGACTGGATGATCCTTGTGGGTCCCTTCCAGCTCAGGAGATTCCATGACTCTGTGATTCTGTGTTAAGTTTCAGCCTTTGGTTTGAAGCCCTTTTGGAGGAGTCCAGGAAGGCTTGGGTGGTGCCTGGTGTCAGGGCTGTGTTCTCAGCAGCCCCATCCTTTGTTCTTGGATGACTTGAGACCTTCCATCATTTCTGTTTCCAAGCAGGCCCGTTCCTGTGACTGATGCTGGGTGCTGTTTATGTGCTGTTTATTATTCCCAAGTTGCCACTGTGGTGTTTCCCAGCAGGGTTTGTGGAGCAGAAGGCACTGCAGGTTTATAGTGTGTGGTGAGGTGGAACTGCTCTATGGCTTTATTTTATCCCAGCAGAGTTTTCCATTCCTGTCAGCTGTGTCTCTGTGGTCTGTGCTGGGGAGAGTCTGCTTGAGGCTCCTGGGCTTTGCTTCTCTGCTGGGATGGAACTTTCATAAGCAGGAGGAAGAGAGTGCTCAAACTAAAAGTCATTTTGTGATGGTACAAAGGTGACAATCATCTTAATACTGCATAATTTACATGTGGCACACAGGACACACTGTCAGCTCCCACTTGGACTTGTCCACAACATGCAGGGTGTGATGGTGTCACAGGGGTCTTCGGATGAGGGAAGAGATGAGGATCTGACTCCATGTTACAGAAGGCTTGATTTATTATTTTATGATATATATTACATTAAAACTATACTAAAAGAATAGAAGCAAAAGTTTCATCTCAGAAGGCTGGCTAAGCTAAGAATAGAGAAGGAAGAATGATAACAAAGGCAGCTGCCTCAGGCTCTCTGTCTGAGCCAGCTCACTGTGATTGGCCATTAATTACAAGCAAGAACATGAGACCAATCCCAGATGCACCTGTTGCATCCCACAGCAGCAGATAACCATTGCTTACATTTTGTTCCTGAGGCCTCTCAGCTTTTCAGGAGGAAAAATCCTAAGGAAAGGATTTTCATAAAAAGATGTCTGCGACAGCAGCGCTCCCTTTGGGAGCTGGGGTGCTGGTGGTGCTCTGGTTAGCTGTATCCTCTCAAGCATTGATTAGGAGTTATAATTTGATTGGTTTTGGTAGCTGTGATGGGATCACAGTTCATTAGTTGCAGTATTTGCTGTGTAATGTGGTTAGTAACGGGTGAGTGCCCTCACAGCCCAGCTCTGGGTGGTGCCAAGTGGAGCAGAGAGGTCACAGGTCTGGAGTTCAGAGGGACTGTGACACCCTGGAGCTGCAACCCTGTGATGCTCAGCAGAGCCATTGCTGCTGGAAGCAGCTTTGCAGAGGAGCCCTGGGGACAAAAAGGTGACCAGGAGTGAGCAGAGGTCAGTGGTGGCTTTGGCTGTGTTAGCAGAAGTGTTGAGGGGAGGGACTGTCCCCTCTGCTCAGCCCTGGGGTGCCCTGTCTGGGCCATCAGTGGGGCTGGAGCAGAGGAGACCCCACAGCTCCATGGTGGAGGGTGTGAGAGGGGACAGAGCCTGGCTCTGCTCGTGGCAGGGTGAGGCACAGGGCTGGGACAGCTCGTGGGGAGTCCTGCATGGACACATGGGAGCATGCTGGCTTGGAATGAGGACTATTCAGGCTGAACACTGGGACAGGGATCTGGGGAGGTGCAGGGAGTTCATGGCTGTTGCAGCTGTGCATGGGCAGGGTCCTGAGCAGCCTTGTCTGGAGGCAGATGCTCAGAGCAGGACACTGCACCTGAGGTGCCTCCCAGACACATTTCATGAACCATTCTGTGATTATTTGTGACACTTTTTGCCTTCAGCTCTGGATGCTGATGGGGGATGAAGAAGAGCCATGTCCTGTCTATGGCTTTTCCTCTCAGTGCCAGGGGAGCCCTGGTGATTTCTGTGTGTGAACCCTTCAGGCTGTTTCAGACCATCCTGCACTTCCATGGCACTCTGAGTTGGTGGAGGAGCTGCCTGACCCTGGGACAGCCTGAGGATTGGCAAGACAAATTTATGGGATTATCTGTGCTTTACTCCTCTGTCAGGCTTTTATCTGTTAAAGCTCATTATAAGTACAGTGTTTTGCTGCAGCACTTGGGGATGCAAAGACCCAGTGGTGTTGCTGATCCTTTTAGGGATTGGCTTAGGAGCTGCTGGACAGGAATTTTCCTATTTTTTTGCCTGTGCAGTCCCTGGGATGTCCCAGCTGGGTGCTGCCTGGGAACTGTTTTCCCAGGAACCTGCATTTTTTGGTGGATAAACATTGAGTGTGCGCTGGGTGAGGCATCTGCCTCTCCCTCTCTGTCCCCTTCTTTTTCACCACCAGGAAAGAAATAAAAATTTCTGCTTCAAAGTGGAAAAACCTATGCATGCAAGCTCCTTGGAAATGCAGTTTTAAATTTGAAAGTTGACTTGTAGAGGTGTGGAAATTTGTGTTTGTTGCTCTGTAACAGGCCCCCTTACAGCTGCAGACATCCAGCCTGGAATTGTCACTTGTAAGTGCCTTGAGAGGCTGCAGCTCTGTATCTCAGCCCAGATAAGGTCTGTAATTACTGGATGGGATTGAATTCTGCTGCACAACTGCAGCCCTGAGGTGCCTTTGCAGTGCAGGAATGAAACCTCTGGCTGCCCATAGCTGACATTCCCCATTTTTGGAATGTTGTAGCTTAATTTAAGCACAGAGCCCACGCTGTGAGAACAGGATTGATCCCATCAGGATTTGTACAATTGATTTCCAAGTGCACAACACCTGAACAGGCTCAGTGGTTGTGAGAGTCACGTTGTGCAGGCAGTGGAGGCTGAGAGCTTTGCTGAGGAATCCCTGTGGATGCTGCAGGGAGGCAGTGATGCATTGGAGGAAGCTGTGGGATTGTGGTGAGGAGCTGCTGTGGTGCCAGGCTGGGGTGTCACAGGGTCAGGCTGGGGGGGAACAAAGTCTTCAATCATAGAATCATGGAATGGTCTGGGTGGGACAGGACCTTAAATCCCACCCAGTGCCACCCCTGCCATGGCAGGGACACCTTCCCCTGTCCCCTCCCAGTGCCATCCAGGCTGGCCTTGGGCACTGCCAGGGATCCAGGCTGGGCACCCTTTGCCAGGGCCTGCCCACACTCACAGGGAACAATTCCCAATTCCCAATATCCCATCCATCCCTGCCCTCTGGCACTGGGAGCCATTCCCTGTGTGCTGTCCCTCCATCCCTTGTCCCCAGTCCCTCTCCAGCTCTCCTGGAGCCCCTTCAGGCCCTGCCAGGGGCTCTGAGCTCTCCCTGGAGCCTTCTCCTCTCCAGGCTGAGCAATCCTAAATCTTTCAGCTATAATGTAGTGAGGTTAATGTTGGCACTTTTGTTCAAGGTGTTTCCCTGAAGATTTACAATTTCTATAGTTTTAGGAAGGACAAATTTGTGAAGTAGCTAAAACACCAGTATTAAGTCAGACATTACCCTGAAGTGAGGCATCCTCATGGGTACAGAGGGAATTAGAGTTTTCTGTTTGTAAAGGAAATAAATACCGAGCCCTTTGTCTCATGGGGCAGGTACACAAACTCCACTAATAGCATCAGTGTAGCTTTAATTTCCAAGTTCAAAATAAAACATTGCCCTTCTACCATATAATAGACCATTACACCATTAGGTGTAGTCTTAATTTACAGATTGGTTTATTTCTAGAACTGCTGATGTAAACCCAGCAGAGGCACTGGGGATGTGCCTGTGTGGCATTAGTGCAGTCCTGTGGTGATGGCACTTTGTGGGGACACATCCTGCTGCTGCACCTTCATCCCTTCACAGACCTCATGGAAGTGTTTGTGCCGTGCCAGGTCTCTATAAAAAGAATCTGCTCCCCTGTGCAAGTGTTGGAGTCAGAACAGCTCAGCTTGAGTGAGCCTGGATGTGATCCTGCTCCCTCACTTGGGAAAAGGGCATTGTGCTGCTTTTCACTGCTCTGTGCTCCTTCACATCACAGAGTTGTGGAATATCCTGACTTGGAAGGGACCCACAAGGATCGTTCAAGTCCAGCTCCTGGAATATGTTCCTGTGGGAGAATTCCCTTCTGTGGCCTGGCTTCTGTCCCCTCTTACGCCATTTTTTAAAATCTCTGATAACATAAAAATACATACAAAGTTGAAAGTTTAAACCTGCTTTTCTTCCTGTAGAAGATTGAAGAAATAAAATTGTGTAAAAAAGAGTTTTCAATGAGTTTGGTGGATCCTGGGAAGAGAGGAGGAGGATGGTCACAGCTTTATTTGTCCCCTGCATGAAATCCTGCTCAGGAAACCAGCTGAGCACTGGGCTCTGTTCTTTGGAGCTCAGCTGGGCTCTCCCTTCTCTCTTGGGACACTTCCCATGTGCTCCCTTGTGTGCTTTGGGCTCCTTTGGAGGCCTCCCAGCTGCTGAACCTGCCAGGGCTGAGGGTCCTGCTGGAGAGAGGCCATGAGCCACCGCTGGGAGTCATTCATGGGTGCACAGAGTGGCTTCTAGGCCAAGATTGGCCTTTTATCTGTGTAAAAATTTGTATAAACAGGTGCTCTTCCCCACGTGGGATGTTAAAACTGGAGAGCAGCATTCATCTCCCTGCTGTTGGCTGGGGAAGATGAAAAGCCCTGGATGGTTGGATTGCTTGTGGTGCTGGC